TGGCCTAAACCAGCGAATCAGATCATAGAGAGGGGATGATGGGCGTGGCTATTAGCCGGCCGGCGGAGGTGCGAGGTAACCTAGGCAACGCGTACTAGTACGCCGCTGCTCAACGCTAGAAGAGCTCTGAGCATCCGCAACCCTCGGGATGGCATGAATTCATGGGGACCACCTTCCACGCTATATCCTGGTTTTGGCCCTGACACTGGTTTATGGCTTCCTAAAAATGGTCCAGGGTTTGCGTTTGGTGCAGTACTTGGAAGTTGACAACATACTTACATATGCTGTAGCATTTAATATTTAGAATAGTCCCTTGCGGCAGACATTGTTATCTGCATCTTACAGGTGAAAAACTGAAGCTTAGAAAAGCTAACTTCCCTTTGGCTTGTTAGTAGTTGATGCCTACCAGGAGTTTCTTTCTTTTGTCTTACTCATTCTGAGCGTACCTTTTTATATCAGTCGACAGGTTTTGAACATCTGTTCTGTGCAAATGCTGGGTGTGTGTGTGGTGCGTGTAGTGGAAAGGGGAGAGAGATTAATAAACTGGTCCTTGCTTATAAGAGCTTACGTATTTTAGTTGGGATGCAAAAGATGTGGTTTAAGGATAAAGTAATGTGACTGCATTTCTTGTGAAGGCCAATCTCATTACTTTGTGGTCGTGTCTCTCACACAGCAAACAACAGTAACTTAGTGAACAATATTTAGAACTACATGATGGTTTTCAAAATGTGTTCCATGTTATCCAGAATGATTGCATGAATACAGTGTGACTTGAGGTAGACTTTGAAAAATTCACATTCGTTCAGAAAATTGGGAATAATTTTCCTAAAACGAAACAATATGAAAAGTAGTCTTATGAAGAAATGATGGAGACCCATTTGGTTGGATCAAAACTTTTGCATAGAGAAATAGTGATTAGTAAGACTCTCAAGATAAGTTGAAGTAAGATGTGTTTAGTCTTCAGTGCCAGTCAGAGGGATTTGAGCCTTCCTTGAGGATAATGGGAATTGAGATTTTTGAACTGAGGAGTACTACTTTCTAAAAATATCTGGAGAATGTGAGTGTTATAGATTGAAATAGAGAAGCTATGAGTGAAATTGGGAGGATTTGGAGTTTTAAAATAAGAATTGAATCCACGTGCAATTGACTAACTGGAAGTTAGAAATGCAAGATTCATTTTCAGGAGAGGAGTCAGGGCTGCGGAGAGAGAAGTTGGGTGAACACACAGGTTAAAGAAAGTATTAAAAAAAAAAAAAAGCACAAAGTATTTTCTCACCTGAGTATTAAGCATGTTGTTATTAGGTGCTGTCAAGTCAGTTCCAACTCATAGCGATCCTGTGTACGTCAGAACAGAAACACTGCCCAGTCCTATACCATCTTCTCGTAATCATTGCTGTGTTCGAGCCCACTGTTACAGGCCACTGTGTCAGTCCATCTCGTTGAGGCTCTGTCACTGACCCTCTGCTTTACCAGGCATGGTGTCCTCCGGGGACTGGTCCCTCCTGATAACATGTCCAAAGTGCATGAGATAAAGTCTCACCATCCCTGCTTCTAAGGAGCATTCTGGCTGTACTTCTTGCAAGACAGATTTGTTCATTCTTTTGGCAGTCTGTGGTATATTCAATATTCTTTGCCAGTACCACAACTCAAAGGCATCAATTCTTCTTTGATCTTCTTTATTCATTGCCCAGCTTTCACATGCATATGAGGTAATTGAAAATATCATAGTTTGGGTCAGGTGTACCTTAGTCCTCAAAGTGACCTCTTTACTTTTTAACACTTGGAGATCTTTTGCAGATTTGCCCAATGCAGTATGTCATTTGATTTCTTGACTGCTGCTTCCATGGGCATTGATTGTGGATCCAAGTAAAATGAAATGCTCGAAAACTTCAGTATTTTCTGCATTTATCATGATGTTGCTTATTGGTCCAGTTGTGGGGATTTTTGTTTTCTTTATGTTGAGGTGTAATCCATACTGAAGGCTGTAGTCTTTGATCTTCATCATTCATAACTGTGTGGAAAGAGGAGAACTGGCAGAGAGGGAAAAAATGAGGATACTGTAATGGCAGGAGACAGCACCCAGAGACTATGAGAAGAGGTTCCGTGGCACTGAGTCTCCTGCCTTTACAGTAGTGCACTCTTCTGAGAAGCTTGGCTGTGAAGGAAAGGGAAAGAATGAGGTAAGGTCTAGAGCTATAGAGACAGAAAACACCTTATTGACTTAATAAGTATCTGTTGACCACCTAGTTTGCAATCGGCTGCTAACCTCAAGGTTAGCAGTTCAAACCTACCAAGCAGCTCTGTGGAAGAAAGGCCTGACGATCTGTTTCTGTAAAGATTGTAGCCTAGAAAACCCAATGGAACAGTTCTACTCTGTAACACATAGGGTCACCATGGGTCAGGGGCCAACTCAGTGGCAGCTAACAATGTGTGTACTGTACTGGTAACAAGCAATATATGAATCAACAAGACACTGTCTCTGCCTTCAAGAGACTCACAGTTCAGAACCTGAGTTTCCCCAAGTGAATGATTATATACAAACCACTTTTGTCATTTGTACCCTGCATGTTCATTTTAACTATAAATGAAGCCATAGGTTAATTATTTCTACCCTTGTCACTGGTTCCTTATTAAGCTACTAGCAAATTTATATTCTTTGAAAAAGGTCAGCCATGCAGTAGTTATACTGATAATGCCTTGCATTTACATAACACTTCATACTTTTCAATGTTTTCATTTGAACCTTGAAAAAAAAGTGTACTGAAGATAGCTATTACCCATTCCACAGATGAGAGGAAACTGAGGCATAGAGGAGAGTCAGGATAGAATTCTAGTTCCCCATCTTCTCATATTTCTTCCTTCTAGGCAAAGCATTATACTGGGTATCGTGAGGAAGAATGTTGGTAACAAGAGTTAGGCAGCAGCAACTAAAAACACCTGGCTGTTTTTCCATGCAAAGGTAATTAGTGTTTCTTGCTAGTGAAAAAACTGAAGGTCCTTGACAAGACCCTCAAGCCACCGGGCCAGATCTTGCCTTCCGCTTGGTTATAGCTGAACTGTGCGGTAATACTATCCTGGTCATGTCAGAGAATAGAATTTATCACTGGTACGTTTTATGAAAAGCACTCCGAACGGTGTTTAGCATAGAGTACTAAGCACCACTTAAGTGTTAGCTACTGTTCTGGTTAGGCCAAGGAAAATGGGGCCTCTCCTTTGGGTTACAGCAGTTTCCCACTCTGCCTATTTGGATTTTTGCCTATTTTTTCTCTTTTCCATCCTAGCCTACCATTCTATAGTATTGTTATCTTTTTAGTGTTTATATTATATAAGTTAATATTTATTTTTGCTGGGTTTTTTTACTTTAAAAATTTTGTAGTTCTCCCTTAAAAGAGCCCTTACTTAGGTTATTTTAAAATAGTCCTTCACTTTCCCTTTGGATCAATAACTTAAAAAAAAAAATTCTCTACCCTTATAACTGATCTTTTTGTTATTCTCCCTGTGTCCTCTAGGCAACACAGAGCTGACAGGCAGCACCAATCTGATCACACACTACAACCTGGAACATGCCTATAATAAATTCTGTGGGAAGAAGGTGAAAGAGAAGCTAAGTAACTTCCTACCTGACCTGCCAGGGATGATCGATCTGCCTGGTTCCCATGATAACAGCAGCCTCCGCTCCCTCATTGAAAAGCCCCCTATTCTTGGTGGCTCTTTTAATCCCATCACAGGGACCATGCTGGCTGGCTTCCGCCTCCACACTGGCCCGGTGAGTCCCCGCTTGGGGAGGAAGAAGGCAAATGGGGAAGCCTAGAGGGCATAGAGTTGGTTTTTCTCTGTCCAGGTCTGTTCTTCATAACTTACTGAGCAGAAGAGATGATGGGAGCAGGGGATTTCCTCCCTCTACTCACCTGGACCTTCCTTTGGTTCCTTCAGTTGCCGGAGCAATGTCGTCTGATGCATATTCAGCCTCCCAAGAAGAAGAATAAGCACAAGCACAAACAGAGCCGTACCCAGGATCCTGTCCCCCCAGGTAAGAAGTGGTGGTTCTAGTCAAAGCCAGCAAACCTGACCTCCTGAATCTGGTTCAACCTGCCACAGCTAACCCCCGGTAAGTTCCTTATGGATCCCCAGCCTCCCAAATTCTTCTAAAGAAAAACCAATGTACTGGGGTCTCTTGGGCAAGCAGGGACATGGGAGAGGGCCTTTAGCAGCACCTCTGTAGCCTTTCTGGCCATTTGGAGAAAAGCAGTTGCCCCTGACTCAGGGTTTTCAAGTAGTCTTGAGAATTAATATCAGTAGGGAATTTTGACCTTTGTGGGTGGTAAGCACCTAATGTCTCCCACAGAAACACCATCTGATTCGGATCACAAAAAGAAGAAAAAGAAAAAAGAAGAGGATCCTGAACGGAAAAGAAAGAAGAAAGAGAAGAAAAAAAAGAAGGTAGGGTAGGGGACATTACTGCAGCCCAGTGAGGCTCCCCATGTCTCCCCCTTGTCCTGAGTCGAGTTCAAGGCCTTTAACTCAGGTTGGACCTGAAATCGAAAACCCAGCGTAGGTTGCAGTTTCTTCCTGTACAGCCTTGGTCAAGGCCCCTGGATCCTAGTTGTTCTCTTACCCCTCCTTCTTTGTCTTCCTCAGAATCGACACAGTCCAGACCACCCAGGTATGGGCAGCTCCCAGGCCAGCAGCAGCAGCAGCCTCCGCTAACTGGACCACTGCACTCTGCTGGGATGACTTTCCCTGTTGTACTGAACCTGCTGACAAAAGCTGCCTCCCAGCCCCTTGGACACTGCCTTGGGAGCATCCCCTATGGCCAGGGCAGAGGCCAGCTCCTGCTGTGCTTAGATGAGGTTAATGTATTAGAAAAAGGCCATTCTTTTTTAAGGCTCAGCCCAGTTAGCTGTCTCATGGACATGTCTTCCTTTCCCAGGAAGCTTTCCTTCCCTGTCTGTTTTGTACAGGTTGTCTCATTTAGGATTTGATCTGGTTTTTCTTTAAAAAAAAAAAAAAAAAAAAATGCATTTATCAAACTGGCTGAAGTGTGGTTGCTTATTAAGACATAAGTGCCTTTCTGTGAGAATCAGTGTTTCAGCCCAGGCATTGCTAAGATCTGAAGGGATTTGGGTCTTGTCAGTAGCAGGCAGGTAAACAATCAAAATGAGATTGGGAACATGGTCCAAAGGTAACACCTCCAGGATGAGAAGGGGCTTGCTAATACCTGTCCACAACAGAGAAAAAAACACCCTGCTCATAATCACAATGTTGAGGCTAAAGAGTACAGCTTCATCCAAGACCAAGTGCCTGGGTGAGCTTCAGGCTCAACTGTGTTCTAGGTCAGTACTGCATAGAAACAAAAAGCCAACTGAAAAAGCACCCACAATCACCAGTGTATTTCAGTGAGGTTGGTTCTTAGATCCGAAGCCTGAAATCAGTTGATTGAACCTCTGGCAAGCAAAGGTAAATAAAATGTCTTCTTTAAAAGACCTTTTGACCTCCTCCTTAGTTAAGACCATGAAATTATTTGGCTGATGTGAAATCATTTCTAAACTTCTAAGACAACAACAAAAGGTAGCCTAAGCCAACAAAATGTAAGATAATCCCTTTAGTTTTTGCAGACTAGTTAATCAAAAACATCCGTATTAAACCTAACCTGAACTAATGCCATCTGACTTATGACACAGAATAGTTCTGAACCAAGGTTGTTCCTAGATTAGTGGGTAGAAAAACACTCATTCAACTCATTTTAATCTCGTATCTCATAGCAAGATGTTATACTTAAGTGTTACAGACAGTGACAAAACATTTAGGGTTCTGGCTAGTTTCCAGAGATTTGTATTCTAGTGTCTGAAAAATGCCTGCTTAAAAATAACAGCACAACCTAGAAAAGGCGATATGAGAGATCTAATTAATTGTAATGCCACTAGGTCCAGTCAACCTGCTTTAAGAAGCTTTCATATTTTGATCACCTGCTGTCTCACCTTTGGCTACATAAAAAATGACCTTTACTTTCCAGAGACGAAAATCGCTTATTAAGGAACAACTGTGGTACAAGTCAAAAGTTCTCTGAGTTTTGAAGCGAAAGATGTTTCTGGAGTTTCTGAATCTAATCATCCTAATAAAAGCAGGACCTGTTGTTTTAAATGGTTCATTTCACGACAGTCCTGCCTGAAGCTGAGTCTGGACCAGAAAAGCTTGAAGTTTGCTTTGTGACTTTCTACCAGAGATCATTTGCTCTGCCTTAACCAGACAAAATAACACAAGTCAGGGGGAGCTGGTTAGATCAGGATTTCTTTTTATTCCTTGTTGGTTTAAAATGGCTAATCAGGATAAAAAATAAAAGGGCCTCTGTCTAGAGGCTGGGGTCTCCCCTGTGTAGAGGTTAGAACCCTGGTATCCCCTCTACCCAGCACCATACTGAGGTGGGCTGAGGGGTAACCTCCAAGAGACAATCGGAGGGGCCTAGGCCTGCCACTCCTTCTCTCTATCCCCCGTTTTTGGCATGTGATGAAAAATATTGCTTTTTGGATTCTTCTCTCCCGGCCTTAGATTTAAAAATAATGTTAACCGTGTGAGTTACGGGAAGGCTTTGAGGGGTTAGTTGAAGAAGCCCACTCTAAACCCTCTCCCCCAAGAAAGGGGAATGATTCAGTATTGTTCCTTGAACTAGGCCAACCTGTTCCTGATCTTCCCCCACCACCACCAATGTCATGGGGCTGTGACCCCTTTCCTGGGGAAACTAAGTGCCAATGAGCCTAGGAAACTAACTCTCCTCTCCAGGTCCTGCCATCCTCTCACCGAGTTCCCAGGCTCACCACTCCTGACCTTCCTTCCTGATCACTTAGCACCAACAACAGGGGGTGCTAGTTCCTTAGTAACTGGGACAGGAGAGAGGGAACCATGGGGAATAAGGAAGACTTCAATGTCTCCCCTCCTTTCCTGCTGGTCTGAGGAATGGGAAGAGTAGGATCCCCCTCTTTATGCATATCCCTCCCTCATTTTCCCATCCCAGGATAGATATATAATTTCTTTGATATTTATAATATATATATATATTTATATATATATATGTACACACACACCTGGTAACGCAGAAGAGGAAAAAAATAGAATCCGTAACAATAATAAAAAAAATTATTTCTGGTTTAAAAATGATCTGGTTCCCTCCAGGGCGAGCAATTGCACAAATGTCCACTGAGTCTGGTCCAGGGGTTAAGGAAGGGTAGGTCTTAAAAGGTGGAAAGGGGGCTGCTACCCCAGTCTCAGGGCCCCAATTCTCCGACTCCCCAACTCCACTGCATTTTGTAGAAGCTCCTCATCCTCTTGGAATCGGTAGTTTAGAAATGTCCATGCAAGGGAGGGGAGCCCCTTGAGGGAAGGAAGGTGGCCACCTGGGGCCCTTTGGTGTAGGCGCAGAGGCGTTGGAGGAAGGGCGCCGAAGGCTCACACCGAAATCTCATAGGTGGTACCACCCACCCCCGACACTTTCTTGACTCCTCCTCTTGTGGGGCTACTGAGAGGTGGCTGGCCTGGGCCAGGGGAGGCTGAGCCTATACTCTTGGGCTGCCCATTGGATTTGCTGTAGGCGGTCTTGAGCTGTACTTCATCTCTGGGAAGAAAAGAAGAAATACGTGTCAGGAAATGGGACACACAACAGAGAAAAAGGAGAGAGTTTAAAAAGTTAGGAGAAAAAAAGGTGTACTGTTCTCCACACGTTTTACCCAGACACTCCTTTTTTACACTCTCCTTAAAACAAGCCTGATCCCCTATCTCCCCATTTAAAAAAAAAAACAAGCCCGCTGCTGTCAAGTCGATTCCAACTCATAGCTACCCTGCAGGACGGTAGAACTGCCCCACAGGGTTTCCAAGGAGGACTCGGTGGATTCGAACTGCAGACCTTTTTGGTATAGCAGCCGAACTCTTAACGACTACGCCACCAGGGTTTCCAATCTCCCCCATTTACTCCTCTCTAACAGCAGCTATCTCATATACTTATATACTCAGGCAATTAGACACTTTTAGGAAGACAGGATTAAGGGAAAAGTGTTCATCTTCAATGTCTTCACAAGAATGGCCCATAAGGGCAGCTGGAGGGAGAGACTGACAATGAAGAGCTACCTACAAGCAGGATACCTCTGGGTCCACCTGTGCTAGCATGTTCACGAGAGGCCTTGACACCTTCTGCAGGCCGGTATGCTCATTTCAAGCTTGCTGAGGATCAGGATGATAGATACTTACTTGGGTGTCAGTAATGGCTGCAAGGCTACTTCTTCTGTCTCAGAGACACCAGGTGGGGCTTTTTGGCTGCTGTAAGACATAGATCGGCCCAGGTATGGCACAGGTGGGCCTGGTTCAGGGGACCCTAGTCCCCGGCTCCTTAGCCCATCTGGCTTGCCAAAACGAGGGGCAGCTGGGCGTCCCAGTGGAGTCTTGCCCAAGGGTGATCGCTTCGAATCATCCGAGGAGGAGCTAGTACGAGGGGCATGGCCTGAGCCTGGTGTTGACTGAATGCCTGAGTCCCCCAAGCCTGGTTCTTCCTCGTGGCCTGGGAGTGGGGGTGACTGGCGCAGCAGCTTCTCTCGTTCCTGGAGGGAAGCCACAATATGGCGCGACAGATTGTCGTACCGCACTGGTGAGGGCTCTCGGTGTGATGGGCCGGTTGGCACCAAACGTGGGTGCCTCTCAGCTTCCCGTTGCTGGGCCAGCCGGGCCGACAGGAAGGGAGAGGTGTAGCCTAAAGGCGGCTCTGGCTCAGGCCCTGCCTGCACTGACTCAAAATCAGGGCTGTCTGAAGGAGTGAGCAGGCTGTCGTAAGACAGGCTTCCATTGCGTGTCTGGTTGGCCAAGCTCTTATAAGAGGTGGAGGTTGTACCCTCTGAACGAATGGACTGCAACTGGCCCAACTCGAACCCTGTGCCTTGGGCTGACTTGAGGCTGGAGGAGCGTGAGCCACTCGATAGTGGATCGAAGTGAAAGCTTTTGCCAAAGGTGGGAGAGCGGAAGCTCTCTGGCTCCAAGCTGGGTTCTGAGCGGTAGCTGGGATGGCGGCTGCTCTCTGCAATCGAGGTTGGCTCCTTCAAGCTGTCCCCACGACTCAACTGAGGAAGAAAGTAATGCAGGCCCTTAGTGCACCTCTTGTGACAGAGCTAGAACCCAGAGCCCAGGAAGTCAGTCAAAACCAGTATTTATTATGTGCTAGTAATAGGCTTACAACTTTTACATGCATTATCTTATTTTCCCTTAAAACAATCAGAGTTAGAACAAACAATATCTCATTTTAAGATGCAGAAAATGAGGCTCAGGGAGGTTAACTTGCCCACAGGCACAGAACTGGGTTGTGAACTCTGGCCTGACACTGTAATCAATGCTCTTACCTATTATGCTCTATTTCCCCTCTCTTTGATGAAAGACACTAATGCTAACAATTAGTAATGCACCCTGTTTCCTTCTCTTCTCCCCTGCCTTTTCTTTCCCCCAATCATCCTTTTTTCAAGCATAGTTGGCATACGTTACGACCCCTTTTCCCCTTTTCTTAGAGGATACTCAGTACCTTGGCGCTAGAAGAATGAGGCATGGCAGCTGATGTACTGCTGCTACTGTAGCCCGGCCGATACTTGTACATGGTAGGCATAGGGGGGCTGTCCTTGCCCAAGAGGCTGTTATCTGCAGGAAAAAAGGCCCAGGGGTAAAATTTATAAGCTGTTCTCTTAACCTAGCTAGAGTTCCTTGAAGTACAGGGGGAGGACAAGGAAGGAACAGATCACACCAGGGAACATGATGTTGCTGAAATCAAGACTACAGGCTCACGGAGTCCAAAACGTGGGGTAGGTGAAAGCATCAAGCAGGTCCTAGAATGTTCTCTGGTCTAGGAGGTGACAGTTCTACCCACAAAAGCCCAATTCACTGCCAACAGCAAAGTGGCAGTCCCTCTCTTCCAGCTATTGAAGGAAGCGGCCTAGTACCACCTATTGGGTGTTCTCAGCTGCAACACAAGTAGAAGCTCCCAGCCCTTGCCTGTCTGTCCTCCCTATAGCTCACAACAAACCACCTCACTCCTGCCTTCCATTTCTAGAATCCTGCAGGTCGAGGCAGCCCTTACCCTCAGTAGCAGCCAGGCTGAGGTGTGTTCGTAGCCCTGTGTAGCGGCTCAGGTCCGGCTTAGGAGGAGGTGGAGGTTCAGCATCGGCAGACTGGCTCTCTGTTATCTCCAAGCTTCCTTTAGACTGGATAAATGAGGGGGAAGAAAAATCAGGTTTGGAGAATTCGCCTTAGGGCAACTCCAAGTATTAAAATCGTATAAAAGGGGTGGTGGGGAGTCAATTATCACGTATTTCTAAACTGGGACTTGACGACAAGGCACAAGAGTCACTTTGGGGCTAGTACTGGATTAAAAAAAAAAAAAAACTGCAACAAGGCTTTAATTCTGGCACTCGTATTTGTTCATTTCAACCAAGAACTATTCACTGAGCTCCTATCATCCGCAAGCTGCTATGTCGAGTCCTATGAAGACATGGAAATGAATGTACTCGATTTCTACTGTCGATGAACTTACAACATTAAACTAATTTTAACACAAGTCAGAAAGTGATAGATACTACAAGAGAGATGTAAACTAAAAGCAAGTTTCCATCCCTTTGGAGTGGGTGAGATCCCCCAAGTTGCCTACTTTACTTCCCTAAATTCTTACCTTAGTTCTCCTCAGCTCTCCCTGGATGCCATTGTCCATGATCTTCACAGTTATCTGTCCATCTGACATGTCTGGTCGAAGGAAGGGAGGTCGGACTACAATTGTCTTCTCTTTCTTTGGTCTCCCCAAATACCTGAGTATCAGAATGACAGGGCTTTCATTCATTCATTCTGAAATATTATTGGTTGCCTATTAGGTGTAAAGCATTTTTACAAGTATAAGAAACTCCTATCAAGCCAGCAAAAAAGGTCAGCACTGAACTGATTTAGCTGATTCCATGAAGAACCGCAGCTAGACTAGGCCTCTGTGGGCAGACACCTAGCTCAGGGCACTCTGAAGTAAATCTCATCTTCAACTCTAAAAGGAAGAGTAACCATAATACCTGAAGTACATCACCTGAACTCACAGGGTTCACTAAAGCATGGGCATGTTCTCCCTGACAGATACTTACCATTCTTAGAGAAGCCTTCCTAAAGGCAGTCTCCCATCAGTCCTCCACTATACCAGAGTAAGCCCAAAGACAACAAGAGTAAGCACTAGACCAAAGGGGTAGCCGTACCTGGGTGCTGGGGAACTGCAGAGCACACGGCTGACATTGTTACAGCAGCCATTGGTGAAGGGATTCACACCTCCCCGGAATTTACCCGTAACCTAGAGAGAGAAAAAAAGGACCAGATCAGTCAAATGGACTTTGACCTCCAAAGGCCAAGGCACAAATCAATAGAAAATGTCTGTTGTGCATCTACTACCTGGGGGACACAAAAATGAATAAAACACAATCCTGCCATTAAGGAGCTTATACTTTTGATGGTTAGGAACGGGAGTTCTAGAGTCAGTTCAAATCCTATGTCTACCTCATAGAGGTAGCTGTCTGACCCTAAACATCAGTTTCCTGTGTAAAATAGGAATAAATACCTCTTAGAATACTGAAAAATAACAAACATAAGAATTATCAGTTAAAATTAGCTATTATTATATGCACAAAAATAACTGTTTTCCTATAAGCAGCACTACAAGCTTCTTGAATACTGACTCAGGTCTTGTTTCTATAACCTCAGAGCCTAAAGTATTCAGTATACAGGAGGCATTCAGTAAATGTTAACTAAGAAATGGCCTCCGTTCTCATGCATACATGAGAAATTTTGACTACCTCACCCCACCTTACCCTCCACCACTAACCTCTGTGTTGTCATCAAAAGTATTCATTAAGCATCTCTTGTGAAAGCACTACGCGATACACTAAACAGCATTAAGAGACACATGCTCTGCTCTTCAGGGGTGACCTATCACTTCGTACCTGTTCATTGGTTGTGCGTCCCCTAGCTACCAGCACCACATGAAATCCTGTGAGGCCAGCTACAGGGATGAAGAATAAGCCAGCCACACACATCACTGCCATTCTGAAGTCAAACCGTCAAGGAGAAGAGAACAATGTGATTTGACCTGCCAGCCTCTGGGGTAGCCATCTTCGCTCTGACTTTCACTCCCACAGGACTCAACTTTCCTCATTCCTCCCCCGCCCAATCCCGTAACCCACAGGCCTTGAAGGATACGTGACAGCCGTGCGGACCCCTGAGAGTTCCTCCATGTGGTAGAGGACATAAAGGAGGCCAAAGCCAAACACACCCATAATGTGGGCTGTCAGGGAAAGGAGAAAGAGGAAGAAATAACGGTAGTTCCGGCGACCAATACAGTTGTTCACCCAGGGGCAGTGATGGTCAAATTCCTAGGGGCAAAAAGAGACAGACTGAGGGGTATCCTTGGATCATAGCACAGATCACTCTGTCAAGAAAAGAGTAAATGGCAGAACTTAAGATTTGCTTTTAGTATAATTTGTGATGTTCACCATTTAGTTAAAAATTAAAAACAGGTTCATGCTGTTTATCTTGCTCTATTAATCTCCTGTAAGGAAGACCTGCCAGAGGTTAGTCAAAGGTCAAGGCTGGCTCTCAAGGTTTTATCCTGTGTGACCAACAAACTCTAAAAGGAATGAAAGACTTTACAAAAACTTCTAGAGTCACGAGAAGAGAGGAAAACCTGGCAGGCAACTACTTACACTAAAGATGGATTGGAAGAAAAAGTAAAATATAAAAGACAAGGGGATGAGAGGGACAGGCAGAAAGAGAAACAGAATTGTAGAAACTGAATCAACAGCACAATGCAGTAGAAGCAAGCGGTAAGACAAGGCCAGAACAAATATAACCCAAAAGATGAGCCAAGGGATGGAAGGCTGGAGCTATGAGCTGTGACTCTTGGTGCTGGGAAGCCTATGTCCGCTTGAGGTCTAAGATTCCCTCCTGCAAGAAAATATGCTCTGCCTCTCATGTGTATATCACTGCTAACACCTTTGGACAGAGCTAGAACGTGCAGCCCAGGTAGTCAGCCAGGACCGCATTTCACCAAAACCAAGAAGTTACAGGATTCAATTATTTTTCTATGGGTAGGAAGAAGGTAACTTAGTTTCAGTGTCAGGACTTCTCCCATCCAAAGTTCTTACCTCCACACAATTGTCACAGACACTGCAGTGGGAACATCGAGGAGGACGGTAGAAGCGGCAGGTGGCACACCACTTCATGCGCACCTGGATGCCCTTAATCTCCACTGTTTTGTAAAGGGGAGCTCGGAAGTCATCTTCCTTGTCCTCATCCTCCTCAGCTGCAGAAAAGAAAAGTCAATTAAAAAACGGCTATGCCAGGACTGTACTAGACACTAGGGATGTGGTGATGTTTAAAATATGGCCTCTGCCTTCGAGGAATGTAGCCTAATGGGTGAGAGACTAGAAACTAGTAACACTGGAAGGTCAGCTCTGTATATAGCACTATGGGAATAAAGATGAGGAAGCAATTTATTTTCTTTTGAGTGAATTCACCCCCTTGAAGTGAGATTAAAGGGAAAGTGACTCATAGGAGACACCTCTGATATGGGTACACTGATGTTCTTTAGTTTACATACACTGTGAATACAGTTAAGAGAAATGGATAATTAACATATCAAAATACATATATTTAGAGTTTGTATAGCAGTTCAATATCTACAAGTACATGACTGAACTACAGCAATGCAAGACAGCAACTAACATTCATCTTTCTGCTGTATGTGAGCCCCTTACCCAAACCGTCTTCCTCTACTTTATTAACCCCCATAGGTATTTCAGTACTGTCTGCTGCTCAAGCCATTCTCTTTACCTGAATGCCCTTGCTCCCAATTTTCATCTCTCAGAAACCTATCATCCCATTTCAAAACTTAACAAGCATTATTTGCCTTCTCATTTACAGTGAGCAATTTTTATTTATTATTAATAATCTTTAAAAAAAAAAAACACATTGCAGGGAAGGAAAAATTAAATAAGTGAAGGTGTAGCTATTAAAATGTAAGATCCCACTTTTGAATATATTAAATAAAAAATTATCTACACATACAACAGATACGTGGTGTGTGTATATATGTATTATTTATGTAGATACATATATATGTATATCTTCAAAATATTAGAAGAAAATACACCACCACAATATAACAGTAGTCATCTTTGGACTGTGGAATTATAGGTTATGTTTACCTTTTTAATACTGTGTACACAATGACTATGTATCATTTACTAAAATTTTTATTTTTAACAAAAGGTTTTTCTTTGCTAGTTTTGCTAAAATTTTATTTTTTTAATTTTCTTGTGCTTTAGGTGAAAGTTTACAGCTCAAGTTAAATTCTCATTCAAAAATTTATACACATATTGTTTTGTGACATTGGTTGCAATCCCCACAATGTGATAGCACTCTCCCCCTTTTCACCCTGGGTTCCCTGTGTCCGTTCGTCCAGTTCCTGTCCCTTCCTGCCTTCTCGTCCTGCTTTTGGACAGAAGTTGTCCATTTGGTCTCATATATTTGATTGAATTAAGAAGCACATTCCTCATGTGTGTTATTTTTTGTTTACAGGCCTGTCTAATCTTTGTCTGAAAAGCAGACTTCAGGAGTGGCTGCAACTCTGAGTTAGCAGAGTGGCCGGGGGCCATAGTCTCGGGGGTTCCTCCAGTCTCTGTCAGATTGGTTTATTTTTTTATTGTGCTTTAGATGAAGATTTACAGAACAAACTTGTTTCTCATTAAACAATTAATACACATATTATTTTGTGACACTGGTTGCCAACCCCACGATTATGCCGAAATTTCTGATCGTTCTACACACCGTCACCTACCAGAAATGAGCTCTTTCTCCTCTAAAGGACTCTAGCTCTTTGAATACTTACAACTTATCATCCAATGTATTTATTCATATAATTATCTTCCCTATATGTATTCCCTTCTAGACTAAGCATTCTGAAAGCAAGGATCTTTTTAAAAAAAAAATCGCCAAGTAACCACCACAGTGACTTCCATATAAATTTTAAAAAAACCTAAACCTGTTGCCATCAAGCCAATTCTGACTTACAGCGAACCTATATTCAGCAAGATGACAGAACCTTGCTTGCTGAAAGTGAAGAGGACTTGAAGCACTTACTGATGAAGTTCAAAGATCACAGCCTTCAGTATGGATTACACCTCAACATAAAGAAAACAAAAATCCTCACAACTGGACCAATAAGCAACATCATGATAAACGGACAAAAGATTGAAGTTGTCAAGGATTTCATTTTACTTGGATCCACAATCAACACCCATGGAAGCAGCAGTAAGAAATCAAAAGACACATTGCATTGGGCAAATCTGCTGCAAAAGACCTCTTTAAAGTGTTAAAAAGCAAAGATGTCACTTTGAGGACTAAGGTACACCTGACCCAACCCATAGTATTTTCAATCACATCATATGCATGTGAAAGCTGGACAATGAATAAGAAGACAGAAGAAGAACTGACACCTTTGAATTGTAGTGCTGGTGAAGAATACTGAATATACTATGGACTGCCAAAAGAACAAACAAATCTGTCCTGGAAGAAGTACAACCAGAAGGCTCCTTAGAAGCAAGGATGGCAAGACTAAATCTTACATACTTTGGACATGTTGTCAGGCAGGATTAGTCCCTACAGAAGGACATCATGCTTGGTAAAGCACGGCGCAGGACAGGACAGTGTTTCATTCTGTGGTGAATAGGGTCGCTATGAATCAGAACCGACTCAACGGTACCTGACAACAACACAGAACAGAGCACAACTTCCCCATAGGGTTTCCAATGCTGTAATCTTTACAGAAACAGACTGCTACATCTTTCTCCCGCAGAACAGCTGGGTTCGAACAGCCCACCTTTCAGTTAGCAGCTGAGTGCTTAACCACTGAGCCATCAGGGCTCTTTGTCTTCTGTATAGTATGCAGATCAATAACTGTTTGATGAATTAATATTAAAGGCTCATTAAAATAGCCCTCCTTGCCTTTAGGGACTCAAGAGTTCCTTCCACTCACCTAATCTTTGAAACATAAGCCACAATTGGAGCACAGTGATTCAGGCTTATTAGATGTCATCAGTGACAAACTTAATCAACTTCTCTTCTTTCTACGTCTGATTCCACTGATGATAGTTCTTATTCTCACCTCCTATCTCAGAAACAACCTACTTCTGTAAGCATAACCCTTCAACATGCACTGGAAAGTATCTCCTTCCTCTAGAAATTCACTCTTCAGTTGTTCCCTTTCTTCAGTTTCAGCCCTTCTCTCTTCTCTGGGTTGTCTCCTCGTGCTACAAATACGCTGAAGTCTTTTGTATCCTAAAAAACCTTCACTCTATAAAGTCATAATAATCAAAACAGTCTGGTACTGGTATAGGACAGACATACAGACCAGTGGAACAGAGTTAAGAGACAAGAAATAAACTCATATCTATGGTCAACTGATTTTCAACATGGGCACCAAGTCCATTCAATGGGGAAAGAACAGTCTCTTCAAAAACGGTGCCGGGACAACTGGATCTCCACATGCAAAAAAATGAAGCTGGATCACTATCTCATACCATTTATGAAAATTAACTCAAACTGGATCAATGACCTAAGTAAAAGAACTGATACCATGGAACTCTTAGAAGAAAACATAGGGGTAAAGGACCTAGTTTTTTTTATATACATGTATTTTTTTATTGTACTTTAGGTGAAGGTTTACAGAACAAATAGTTTCTCATTAACAGTCAGTACACATATTGATTTACGACATTGGTTAACAATCCTACGACATGTCAACACTCTCCCTTCTTGTCCTTAGAGGACCGTTTTTTTTTTTTTTTTTGGTGAAAATATAAATAGCCAAAGTTACACCACTTCGAAAAGTTTCTACATGTACAATTCAGTGACATCGATTACGTTCTTCCAGTTGTGCTGCTATCCTCACTATCATTTTCCAAATTATTCCATCACCATTATCTTCAACTCACTGCCCCTGAGGCTTCCCATCAAACCTTTTGAGTTGCTGTTGTTAATTTGATCTCACATAGATAATTCTTTTTTTTTTTTGTACCTTACATGAAGGTTTGCAGAACAAATAGTTTCTCATTAAACAGTTAGTAACCTATGACAATGGTTAACAACCCCACGACATGTCAACACTGTCAAAAGGGCCTAGTTTTTAACAATGGATTCTTAGATGGCACCAAAAGCACAAGCAACAAAAGAAAAAACAGATAAACCTTCATGCATCATAGGACTTTATCAACAAAGTGAAGAGACAACTTGGAGAATAGAAGAAAATATTTGGGAACCATATATCTGACAAGAATTTAATATTCAGAATATATAAAGAACTACAACAGCAAAAAGACAACCCAATTAAAAAGTGAGCAAAAGACTTGAATTGACAAAGAAGATATAGAAATGGACAATAAGCACATAAAGAGATGCTTAACTTCATTAGCCATTAACCCTAGTTGCTGTAGAGTTTTGACTCCTTGGCCAGTAGCAGCCTAGTGAGTTAACAGCTTGCACCACCCAGGGACTCCCCCATCATCCATTAGAAAAATGCAAATCAAAACCACAATGAAATACCACTGCAGACTCACTAGGATGGCTACTATCAGAAAAACAGAAAATAACAAATGTTGACAAGATGTGGAGAAACTGAAACCCCCATCCGTTGCTGGTGAAATTGTAAAATGGTGCAGCTGCTGTGGGAAACAGTTTGGCGGCTCCTCAAAAAGTTAAAACGTAAAATTACCATATGACCCAGCAACTCACTCCTAGGTATAGACCCAAAAGAACTGAAAGCAGGGACTCAAATAGTCACTTGTACACCAATATTCATTGCAGCATTATTCACAATAGCCATAAGGTGGAAACAACCCATCAAAAAATGAATAAACAAAATGCAGTATATATTTAAACAGTGGAATATTCAGTCATAAGAGAAATGAAGTTCTGATACATGCTACAACATGGATAAATCTTGAAAACATTACGCTAAATAACTCAGACACAAAAGACAAATACTGTATGATCCCTCTTATATGAAATATCTAGAAGAGGCAAATGTATACAGTCAAAAGTTTATTAGTGTTTACCAGGGGCTAGAGAGAGGGAAAGAGGAAGATGGGAAGCTAGTGTTTAAGGGGTACGGAGTTTCTGTTAAGGGCAAAGGAAAGCGTTTGGAAATGGATAATGATGATGGTTTCACAACATGGTGAATGTAATTAATGTAACTGAATTGTATACTTGTAATAGTTAAAACTGCGAATGATTTGTTATATTTTGCCACAATTAAAACAAAAAAACCCTTTCTCCAATAAGATACTGTTCCATCTCCTGCCTTCTCTGCTAACTTCTAGAAAGAATAATCTAAAACTAATTTGAGTTTCCTTCATTTCCCATTCACTGTTCTCCAAACCATTACAATTTAGTAATTTGGCTATATCTTTTCTTTATACGCAAACACACTATTATAACTGTTTTGTTGTCATTGTTAGGTGCCTCCCAGTCCATTCTGAATCATAGCGATCCTATGTACAACAGAACAAAACACTGCCTGGTCCTGTGCCATCCTCACAATCATTGTTATGCTTGAGCCCATTGAGTCCATTGTTGCAGCCACTGTGTCAATCCATCTCATTGAGGGTCTACCTCTTTCTCGCATGATGTCCTTCTACAAGGACTGGTCCCCGCTGTTAACAATTCCAAAGAATGTGAGACATAATCTCGCCATCCTTGCTTCTAAGGAGCATCCTGGCTGTACTTCTTCCAAAAGACAGATTTGTTCGTTCTTCTGGCACTCCATGGTATATTCAATATTCTTCGCCAACACCATAATTGAAAGGCATCAATTCTTATAGCTGTTAAGATCACTTTTCTTAATTAACAAGACAATGGGCAATTTTGAGTTTCCAGACTATTGTTGTTGTTAGGTGCTACTGAGTCGGTTCTGACTCATAGCAACCCTATGTACACTAGAATGAAATAATGCCCGGTCCTGTGCCATCCTCACAATCCTCGTTATGCTTGAGCCCACTGTTGCAGCCACTGTGTCAATTCATCTCAGTCAGGGTCTTCCTCTTTTTCACTGACCCTCTACTTTACCAAGCACAATGTCCTTCTCCAGGGACTGATCCCTCCTGATAACATAACCAGGTCTCGCCACCCTTGCTTCCAAGGAGCATTCCAGCTGTACTTCTTCCAAGACAGATCTGTTTGTTGTTTTGGCAGTCCACGGTATACCCGATATTCTTCACCAACACCATAACTCAAGGGCGTCAATTCTTCCATCTTCCTTATTCATTGTCCAGCTTTCACATGCATATGAGGTGACTGAAAACACTATTGCTTTTGTCAGGCATACCTTAGTCTTCAATGCGACATCTTTGCTTTTTAACACGTTAAAGAGGTCTTTTGCAGCAGATCTGCCCAATGCAATGCGTCTTTTGATTTCTTGAATGTTGCTTGCATGGGTGTTGATTGTGGATTCAAGAAAAATGGAATGCTCAACAACTTCAATCTTTTCTCTGTTTATCATGATGTTGCTTCTTGGTCCAGTTGTGAGCATTTTTGTTTTCTTTGTGTTAAGGTGTAATCCATACTGAAGGATGTAGTCTTTGATCTTCATCAGTAAGTGCTTCAAGTCCTCTTCACTTTCAGCAAGCAAGGTTACGTCCAGACTATTGGATCTCTCTAATTTCTGATACTGCCAACCATCAGTTACTTCATGAACTCTGCCTTTCATTAATTCCCATTTTTTCCAGTTTCTTCTATTAATCTTTCTTGCTCAATCACTCTTCAATGGCTCCTCCTTCTCTTCTGTTCATTATTAAAATGTCAGTGCTGCTCAGGTCTGACCTTGGTTCTTTCCTAATTTCACTTTACATATTTCCTCTGGACAATCTTACTCCTATTGCATTCAAATATATGGGTGTAGACTCTGAAATGAAGGTCTTTGACTGTGACAACTCATTTGTCCACTGGGTAACTCTACCTTTATGACCCGTAAGTATCTTGACTCTAACGTGTCTAAGACAGCTCCTTTTGTCTTCCCTCCAAACTTGTTCCACATGCCTATAACCCATATCTTGGTTTATAAAAATGAGCATCAAACTTGGAGCCCTGGAACTATCCTTGTCAATTCCTTCACCCTCCTACTCTCCCCGAATAAGCAACTGGTCATGATAAACTCTGCTGCGTCTACTTCTAATATCTGTAAATCCAGTCATGAATTCAAGTTCTCACCTGGATTATATTATTGCAACAGCCTCCCCAAAGGTATCTGTACATTATTATAAGATTTTTTTTTAATTATCTATATAAGATCAAAAGGTCACCAGCTATTTTAAAGCACAAATGATAAAGTTAGGGGGTAGGAAGATTTAGTAAATGGAAGTGAAACAATTAGAACAAAAATAATGAGAATGTTGACACAATGTGAAGAATGTAACCAGTATCACTGATCATTATGTCTAGAAGCTGTGGAATGGGAGCGGTTTTGCCTGTTTACTTTCACCAAAAACAAAATTAAAAAAAGAATTATTTTTGTAAAAGGAAATCTGACCCTGTTAATCCCCCAATTAAAGACCTCTTGCTGTCCAAAGGAAAAAGTATAATCTATTTAATTTAGTACATAAAATCCTTCAGAACCTGGCTCTAGGTTCAGTTCCTGACCCTTCTGGCCCCACCACACACTATACCTTCCAATCCCACAGAGTTCACCATTTCATGGTTACGAGCTTCTACATATGTTGCTGCTTCTGCCTAGACTGCCCTTGCCCTTCCATCCTCTACTTGGTGAAGTCCTTTCTACCTGTCTTCCACCCCAATTTACCTGGGGTGCACCCTTTTCTATGTTCTCATAGAAACTTTTTCATGCCTCCATTAGTTTGTTTCAAAACTTTCTAATGCATCTTGGATATCACTGTATCTAGCAATACATGCTCTAAACAAATGTCTGCTGAATATACAACTAAAAATCAGAGTTGACTCAAACTGAATCACATGGCTGGAAGCTATATGTATTTCTGAAGACGTTGACTTAATTTTTTTTTTTTTTTTATATTTTATTGTACTTCAGGCGAAGGCTTACAGAACAAATAGTTTCTCATGAAACAGTAGTACACATATTGTTTCATGACAGTGGTTAACAATCCCACAACATATCAACCCTCTCCCTTCTCGACCTTTTTTTTTTTTTGGTGAAAATACACATAGCCAAAGATACACCGTTTCAAAAATTTCTACATGCACAGTTCAGTGACATTGACTACGCTCTTCCAATCGTGCTGTTATTCTCAATTAAGATGAAGGCTTACACAACAAAATAGCTTCTCATTTAACAGTTACTACAAATGTTGCCCTATGACAATGGTTAACAATCTCACAACACATCAGCAATATCCTTACTCAACCTTGGGTTCCCTATCACCAGCTTCCTTGTCCCCTTCTGCCTTCTGGCCCTTGTCACTGGACTCCTGTACCTCATCTCATTTGGTTTTACAGGGCTGTCCACTCCCAGGCTGAACAGTGAACCCTGGAGGTAGCTTCACCACTGAGCTAAAAGGGTGTCTGGGGGCCATACTCTCGAGGTTTCTCCAGTCTCCTTTAGGCCAGTAAATCTGGTCTTTTTTTTTTTGTGAGTTAGAATTATGCTCTACATCCTTCTCCAGCTCTGTCCAGAACCCTCTGTTGTGATCCTGGTCAGAGCAGTCAGTGGTGGTAGCCGGGCACCATCTAGCTGTACTGGACTCAGTCCGGTGGAGGCCTTGGTAGCTGTGGACAATTAGTCCTTCAGACTAATCTTTTCCTTGTATCCTGTTCTCTTCATTCTCCCTTGCTCCGGAAGGGATGAGACCAGTGGAGTATCTTAGACGGCCGCTCACAGGCTTTTAAGACCCCAGACACTACTCACCAAGGTAGAATGTAGAGCATTGTCTTTATAAGCTGTGTCATGCCAATTGAGCTAGATGTTCCCCGAGACCATGGTCCCCACAGCCCTCCACCCAGCCATTCAGTCCCTCAGGGAGTTTGGATGTGTCTATGGGGCTTCCATGACCTTTCCTTGTACAGGTTGTGCTAGTTTCCCCTGTATTGTGTACTGTCTCACCCTTCACCCAAGATACCACTTATCTATTGCCTATTTAGTATTTCCCCCCCACCCCTCCAATCCCTGGTAACCAACAAAGATTGTTACATTCCGTGTGTGAACTTTTTCATGGGTTTTTACCATAGAGGTCTCATACAATATTTGTCCTTTTGTGATTGACTTATTTCACTCAGCATAATGTCCTCCAGTTTCATCCATGTTATGAGATGCTTCACAGATTCATTGTTGTTCTTTCTCGTTGCATAGACCCTGACTTAATTTTTATCATTAGACTTTAAAAGTATTCCATAATCGTAGGACTCCTAAGGCCCAGATCAACTGGGTATGCTCAAATCATTATTTTTTAAAGATCAAAAAGAGCTTCCAAGAGAGGAAAAGGAGAGCTTACCTCGAGGGAAAATGCCTGGGTCCATGAAGGTGGCCATGCTGAAGTTGGCCAGCACAAAGAGAAAAACAATCGCATTGTAGATGGGCACTGCAGGTGACACATACAGGCTGAGTCCTGGACACCTGCACAGACAATGAAGAAAATGAGGGGCTGCCTCTAACACACTGGACACCAACTATAGTCACAAAAATCTGTAAAAATTCTGAGAGGCCTAGCTCAGGGGGAAAAGGATAACTTTTTGTGGGAGACTGAGAGCCATCCATTTATGCACTATAGCAAATAAGGCTTACAGTCCCTTCCTATGTCTCATCAACAATAGTCAAGATTCTCTATTTCACTCAGTCCCCACACCTATACATAAATCTTCATTCAATTTTAGATCAAGGTACAAGACTCAGAAAATTTCTCCTACCTTAACCCCTTGCACTAAGATCTGTGTTCTTCAGGTTCAGTCTTCCCTCTGGAGCTTTCAACATGTTTTAGAATCTGCCCTATCTCCTCTCTAATAAGACATGAGAACCAGGGACAGACCATGTACGTAACTGATACCAGCCACATTCCCTTCTTGGGAGCTGCCTGAGGCCATGTTCTACTGACCTGCACATTGGCCCAAATCACATGCTACCACCTGCTTTTCTGGCTCCCCTTCCCCCTTCCCAGCTGGCTTTGAACCACTCCCAATTGCCTAAAGTTTCTTTACTGCTTCAGATATCCCTGAGAGTGTTATCCAACTAGAGGCTAGTTCTTAAAGTGGGGGTGGGAGGGGTGGGGGGGGCAACAACACAGATAACAGAATAGACATCAGGACACAAAACTATCCCCTTGAAGTCTAAAACTGAATGAGAAGTGGGGGAGGAAGAAAGAGGGTATGAAACCAAAGAAGTCCTAAGTCCAGGAGGAAGAAGAAACTGGCCAAACATATCCAGTATTCCACAGGATTCAAACCAAGAGACATGCTTTAGGTAACTTTTGACAAAAAAAAAGTATACTAAGCTCAGTTCCTTTTACAGATACGAGTCTAAGCAGGAACCCTTCAAGAGCTCTTCCTTTCTTGACCGATATCCTGGGAGTTGGATGTTTCAGAAGAACATCTAATGTGCTGCTTGCTTTGTCAGCTGTGTCAAATGCTCTCTCTACTGTCTCAGCTCAGTGAGAACTTCAAGACAGTGACTAAATAATCTGCTTTGTGGCTGAGAACTTAATCTCCAGATTTAGGACAGCATCTGTCCTTGTCCCCTTTATCTGGACCAGTCAGAAGGAAACAAAGAACGGGCCAGGAGAACAAGACATCTTATAAGCCTGGTGGATTAATCCACAGCAGTCCTGGATTCTGTCAAAAGAAGTGGCCTATTCCTATCAAAACAAAAAGAACAGCCCTGAACAGTGACTCATGACAGTTTAGAGGAACTGAGGTCCTTAATGAGAAACAAATAAACCAACGGTAAGAAACAAAACTGATTGTCAGAAAACATCTGACAAGTCTTCACAACCACCATCTATTTATTCAAATTTCATTCAGCCATTCATTTAAAAAAAAAAAAAAAAAGTACATCTTGTGTGCTAGGCTTTTTAGGTAGTATCATTTAATTCTTTGCCTCTCTTGATGAGTCAGTATAAAACTGGGAACAAAACAATGAAGCTGGAGTGAGAGCACCAATCTCAAGGACAAAAAGAGCCCTTCAGTCACAGTCCTAGGCTACCACCAAATAAAGTCTCCTATGGAAGCCTCCTCCTCATGCAAGTCCTTTGGTTAAAAAAAAAAAACCCACTGCCATCAAGTCAATTCTGACTCATAGGACCCTACAGGACAGAGTAAAACTGCCCCACAGGGTTTCCAAGGAGCTCCTGCTAGATTCGAACTCTGACGTTTTGGTTAGCAGCCGAGCTCTTAATCACTGTGCCACCAGGGCTCCTTGGTTCAAGAAAGATGGCTCCACATCTTGGCAGGGTTTCAGGTGGAATACAAGCAAGAAGTCTCTGCACAGCCCCACCCCAAAGCCTGACCTCCTAGTTTCCCTTGGAGGGAGGGAGAGAAACTGAAAACCAGTCATCCAGGTCAGAGCCCCTCCCTAGGACTTAGCTGTCGCTTCAATTTCCGCCTGGGGAAGAGAACAAAGGGTGACTCACTTGACACCCACAGCCTGGGAAGATAATCAGAAGGGAAAAAGAAATTAAATCCTTAAAACACTGAGGTGTCCGTGATTTAAAAGTCTCATTCCTAGAACTGGCCACTGTGGCTACTGTGGCCTCTTGAGCTTCTGAAAGAAATAAGCAGGGGTATCCTCCATTCCTGACGGAAACTAAGGTTCTGGAAGAGCTGGTGAATAAGAATGAGATCTCAGCCCCCTCACAGGCCCAACTGTCAATCTTTCTACTTCATTTTTCCTTAGTTTCATTTCTAAACAAAGCAAATCACCTAATCTCTTTGGTACCCTGCCAATCACCTACCTCTAGATGATGAACTTTACCCCTACAACCTTCTAGACAGCAACCCATCCCAGTCGAAGTGTGCAATCCTGGAACTGAGTTCCAATATGTTGCCAAACTAAACCCTGCCCCCACAGTGGCAGAATCTAGCAATGATGCAAACAACTCAACTTACAGAGCTAGTATTTGCTCCTACATTCAAATCAGAGATCTGTCGCTTCCAATCGCAGCACTCTGGCTGAGGGAGCAACACCCCACCAAGGAGAGGCAGGTGTGGGCAGAACCTGTTCCTGACATATCCCATATTCTACTTGGCTGGAGGAGAGGCTTTCTGTTGCTATAGTACCTTGCCAGATTCCTAGGTGACCACTCCAAGTAGCCTGTCTGAATCTGTTGCCTTTGATGGAGGGAGATGAAGCCTGAGCTGAGGAGACGAGAGGAGTTGTTGGGGCTCGTCCTTAGCCTATGGCAATAATCATAGAGCTCCAGAAGCTTAGGGAGTGGCTATAGTTCAGAAGGCTGACTGACTCATTGATGGGACTCCCAGACCTATACCACCCCAGGAAAAACAGGTTCTTCTGCCCACCCATTCAGTACTCTCACTTCAAGGCCAAATAAAGTTGGGAGAGTGGGTTTCAATACCCACATTCCTAACATCCTGTTTTCTAGTCCTCCTTAGCACTTCCTCTTCTAAAAGGTGGTTAAATTCCTGGAAAGAAAAACAAAGTAGGAGTCAAGAAGCTTTGGATTTTAATCCTATCTCAACCAGTGCTTGTTATGTGGCCTTAGGTTAATACACAGGAAACTCTCCAAGCCTGTTACTTCAGCTACATAATACAGACATGAGAATGAAGGAGAGAATGTTTAAAAAGATCCTCAAATTCTTTTTTAAACCAGTTGGCTCAATAGCGGGCACTGGACGGAAGACACAAGAAAACATTATTAACCACCACCATCATCATCAATTATCATTCCAGCTCCACCTTCATCCTTAATTCTACTTCCTCTGAGATGCTAGGTATTCAAGACACTTAAAGACAGAGGCTCTAAGTGCCTAAAGAACATGCCTACGCATTCCACCCATGCCTAATACACTGTTTGAGCGTATGACTAGTGTTCCCTGCTGATGAGAGAAGGGTAGAATGAATGTCCCACTTCCCGCTCTTGGGGATCCTCATTCAGGACTGTGCCATCCTCTGCCTTCCTCAACATTCCACGGGAAAACAACTTGTCTCTTTATATGTGGGTAAGTTTCTCTTAAAACACCTGCTGATTGTGATGCCTGTTACCCAGGCTTTCCAGCAGCTGAATGCTGGATGTCGAACCTGGGCACTTATTTATTACTGAATGAGAAAACAACTTGGGAAGGAAAAGGAACAACGCCTTCTCTATTAAGCCTTAATCATGAGGCTGTTCCCACTCAAATCAGGAGCTAACACCTCTGCAGTCATGAAAAAAAGGACCAGAGTGATAGCCATGAGGTAGCTCAACACTCTTTGGGTAAAAAGGAGGGAAGGACCCAGAGGCAGACACTGAAAGGAAGCATCTATATCATGGATGCAACACTGGAAAGACCATCATGGGTTTCTGGACAACCTTAACTTTTATCCTTCCCTTAGAGGATCACCTGAAGCAGAGGTTTTGACCCTGACCTCCTCCCCACCCATTCTGGAAATGAACAAAATGAGAACTGACTTAATTGACTTATGTAACTACAGGAGACTTTAGAGAGGATACAATTCAATGATTTCAAACGGTGTTGCCAGGAGTCCTGAGAAAGGCTCAGGGGCCCCCAGGAAGGCAAGAGATACCCAGTGGCTGGACCTCTGTGCCACAACCTCACTTGAACCAGAGCAGTTCTACTTTTATGTTTTATATACTGGGGTTCCACATAAGATCTCATCTTTAAAAAGGTCATGGTGCTTAAATAAACTGTGTTAGTTCAACTTCCTCATCATACAGGAAGAAATTAAGGCCCATAAAGATTAACAAATTTTACTAAAATCGGTCTCCTGACCCCCAAATAGTGTTTATCCCACTTACCTAGCACTGCTCCCTTCACAAAAGGACAGGATCCAGGTATATTATCTTAAAAGCAGTCTAGTACTTAATGAGAGGGGAAGTGTTACTTTAGCAGACACTCTCCTTCCCAAACAGTGAAAAGATGACTACGACAGGATCCCCAATAACAGTCCTGCTTAGTTTGATACTGGATAAGTTCAGTGAATGAAAGGGACCAGGTTTTTGGAGGAAGGTCTCAACTGTTCTACTCAAGAGTCTCTGGGGCAGAAGATTGCCATTTCTTTGATGATCAGACCCAGCTCAGTCAGTTTCTGCTCCAGCTTTTTCCTGCTTGACAAAGAAACATGGAGAGTAAATTGTTCCTAATTAGTTGACGCCTACATGCCTCCACTAATTATATCTGCAAGCTGAAAGGGACTCCCCCTCCTACTCCCAGTCCTCTAGGTCCCAGAGTTAATTCTCACCTGGGGCTTGTACTGATGTAAGAACAGCCAGTGGTAGCCTAGTGAAGAGTATAAGAGGATGAAAGAGTAGTTACAGGTTTAAGGGCCCAAACAGGAGCTGGTTCAAAGAGAGTCTTTCTCTTGTCTTTCCATTGAAACCATGGATTCTTGTTTAGTTTGTGTATGGTTTCAAACAGATGGTTCTCCAAGGAACTAAACCTCAAAAGGGGCAGATTCCTCTGGGAACAGTTTTACAGAACAGTGGCGCATCAGCCCAAGTTCACCTGCTCACAGAGGAAATTCTATGGTCAGATGGAGAGGAAGAGATGAGAATTTCAGAGGAACCAAGAGCCAGGTGATAGAGGGAGATAAACAAGGTATTTGTGTCTCCACAGGTAGGTAGGAGGAGCCTGGGGAAAAACAGCCTACAAATTGGTCCTGTGGAAGCTAACACCAGGGGCAACTCTGGCTTAAGGTTCTTTTAACTTTGGATTAGAAACAATAATTCCTGGTCAAGAATAATATAAATAGAGTCAATATTATCCTCCAAAATCCTTGTGCCTGGGCCTGTGAGACCACAGAATGAAGACAGCCCCTACTTTACTGGCACCAGGTAACAGGAAAGTAGGTTAAATAGTTTCAAATACCAGTTGAGAAAACGCCTGTGTCAGGAACTCTTTGTGGGCAAACTGGTATAACCAGCCAAGCACTTCAATGGTTCCAGATTTAGCAAGTCAAGAACAAGGACTCTGCCTGCCCTCTCTCAAGAACAGATGAGTTGAGAGAAACCACTTAGTCAGTACCCTGAAATTTCTAGCTTCTCTAAAGGCTTTACCTCTTGAAGGAAAAACAGACACGCCTCAACTAAGCAGGTCTAAGGGTGCCAAACTGGTCTTGTACATACCCCTCATGACCCAGTACCACAACTACTACAGGAATACTAAAATCTGCTATAAATGTCTCTTGGTTAAAATGTTGATCCTCCTTACTAGCCGTAACAGATACCAGAACAAGTCCTGACACTGAAGACTCACCCGTCTATTGGTAGTCAACGCATAAAGGACACAACACTGAACATGTTGAGTTTAAGCAAGAGAAAAAGTATGCAGAAAGAGAAGCCAGATGGGAAGAGCAGGACTGTCTCTAAACCCCTGAGGGATCAACAGGCATGGTTAGGCTGGAAAGCTGGGGCCACACACCTAGGACTTCTTCTATGCTTCAGAGAAAGAAGTGAGATAATGCTCACACCTTAAATAATGGATTCGTTCTTTCCTTGTTTAAAAACTAGATAGAAATAGATCACTATTACTTTGCTGATTCTTTTGGCCAAGTGACTTACGTTTTTTAGAATTCCTTTTGGCATCCAAAGCTCAATTTCTGTAGTTTTTCTTTCCTCCTATCTCAGATTCAACTTCTGTTCTTTAAGTTCTCCCCGTAATAGTAACTGCCCCCACCTCAGTAATTCCTGGTTCACTTTCATTCATCCTTCAGTGAGTTCCAACTGCTTTTATTTCCTACTTCACTATCTTCCTCTTCCCAGCAAACTCATATTGCTCTTAACAGCACAGCACAATCAACTTTGAGCCTGAACTACAGCAAAGTAGACTTCCCAGATCTAGTATGCTCTGATCACTCCAAGAGTTGCAACTAGAGAACTAATTTAATGACTCAACAGTCTAAGGCTCAGAGGCCTAGCACATGTTAATTTATAAGTAGATAACAGCAAAGTTCTAGATGCTTGCCAGGTCAACAGCTATATTAGAGGAAAGAGAAAGGATAAATTACTCAGTTTCTGCCACTAACAAGCAGATGAACAAAGTTCTGAAGAGCCTAAGTGAGAATAATGCAGATCATAGATGGGAAATCCTTCAAATATCAATTGCCTTTCCCAAAAGGACCAAGGAATGAGAGAATTATTGTCACTCCCTTCAGCAGGAACTGATGTAAAGGACTCTTCTAGAGCTCTCTTCCTAAATAAAACGTGTCCTTTCCCAGTGGCCCTTACTTCTTCAGGCTTCAGCTTTAACAGAGAGAAAATCATCTGAGTAACACCAAATTAACAACCAACAAAAGCCAATATCTTATTAATCAATTCTGAAACTTTCCAGTACTCTCAGTTCCCACAATCAGAAACCTAAGCTTCAGACATCCTGGGGAAAAGCCATTTGAAAAATCTTTAGTTTAGTCTAGTTCTCCTCTCATAGAATTGATTGCTTAAGCTGTGTCAAGCCTCTCTGGTGGTTTCCTCCCACTTCCTTCCTAGTTTAGGATCATCTAATGAGGGAACTGGGTAGGAAAACATGAAGACACCTATGATTCCAAAGGAAGGGAGGGAGGGGAAGGTAGGGGATCAATGGAGTAAAAAATTTATAAGAAGGCTGAAAAAAGATACCCTTTTTCTCATTTTTCTTACTATACTTCTGTATTTACCTGTATTGGACATCAAGTATTCCAAGTCACTCGGTTTTGTGAGTAACCAGCAAAACTCAAGAGAAAGCATACCCCCTCGCCTCCCATGGAGGGCCCCTCAAATACCACCGCTGGAAGAAAACTCACGTAAAGGCAAAGAAGAGTGTCGTAGCTCCCACTAGGAAGATGGCGGCAGCTGAAACCGGGACATACTTGCTGGGTTTGAATCTCTTTCCAGACTCTGCGGGCATGTTGGAGCTCTGATGGGAGATCTGCCCTGCCGCATAGCCCAGGCCCACACAGCGGCAGAACAGACAAGAAAATGGGATGAGGGAAACAACAGAGAGAAGAGTACAGAAGGAAACCAGGGAAACAGAAAATTTAAATTACCACCCTTCCCCCTCCCAAATAAAACCAAAGGTCAAAAGATCGCAAATGTAGGAAAGCGTATGGGAGGGGGAAAGGTGACTCCAAATTCCAAAAGATGAAAAACGACCTCCCCAGAGCAAGGCAAAGGGGAGATTAAGAAACACAACTTGTATAGTTTAAAAACTGCAGAGAAACCGTTTGCTGTACACATGCAAATGGTTGCAGGCGGAGAACACGGGCAGCCAGACAGATCAAGGAATAGCTCATGGATGGAGGCAGATCTTCAAAAGGAAAGGAAGGGGAGAAGATCAGGGTAGAGCAGAAAACTTCGGGCAAGGAAAGATTCTTCTCAGGAGATACTATAGTACGTCCACAACTACCACACTTCCAGAAAATGCGAGCTGCACCTTCAGGAGGTGTGCCCTGTGTTTCTGTTTTAATCCAAGAAGGAATCTGTGACCCCTTCCACCTTTAAAGAGAAGCTGTTTTACTGTAGTCCTTGTCCTTTCCAGGCAGTCTCTGATGCCACCTCTCCCACACCTTCACTTCACCAGGGTTTGTAGTCTGGCAATGGTCAGTGAATTTTATTTCTCTCTCTCCTGATGGCTAAAGCTGGGCAACTGGTGTTACAAGGTTGAGTTGTAAATCCTTTTCTTTGAAGGAGGAGGGAAAAAAGAAAGGGCAAGCTTGTCCGTTTTCAATCTCTTCTTGTTATTCCCAAGCCCTTTAAGGGCTCCGTTTCCTATGGAGTTCATGCAAAACTAAAGGGGAACTTAAAATCCCTGAAGCCATACTCTTCCCAACAAGCAGAATAAGTTGAAGTAATCAATTCCACTTGATGATGCTTTATAAGGTTACTGTGGATGAAAGCAAAGTTCCAAAGATCTCTCTGTTGCCAGGTTAGTCGATGTCTCTGATCTTTCGCCTTCGATCTTGGGCTTTCTGGGTGAAGAGTTCAACCGGGTCCAGTGCCTCACCTGGAGGAAACAAGCATCTTTATCAGAGAAATTCTTTGAGGGCATTACTAAAAACACCAAGGCTAAAACTCCACAGGCTGCTCTGTTAACAAGTGCTTTTGAAAGAAAGGTTATTTTCAATTTCACTTATATGGATGTGGGAAAGGACTCTATAGACTGGGAGGAAAATGGGTTCAGAATCCTTCACTGCTGTTCAGATTGGAGGGGGAAAACATGGCTTCACCTAGCCTAAGGTCATCAGGGGACCAGGAGTTACCTTAGCTCTTGCAAGGGGCCCATCTCACCTGACACAAATGGGCAGTAACAAATACCAAGAATATCAAAATCTAAAAACAAACATGGGCAGAGCAGTGAAGGGCAGTCCTAGGAAAGAGACTTCTCTTGGACAAACACAGTATTTATTGCTACAATGAAAAAAGAAAAAAAGTAACCTCAAAATTAGGACAGCAAGCTTCTCTCTCTCTCACCCTCCTATGTTTTTTAGTTATAACCGCGAAGAGGCAGAAGCTGAATTTTTGGTCTTCTGGAATTAGCCATTAAAGGGCCTGAGTGAGAAAAATTCTTGTACTGAAATGTGAGATATCTTACATGAGAAACTAAGTTACCACAGGGGGTTTTCTTCCTAATCAAAAGTTTTTTCTTCCTACCTCAGCCGATTAGGAAGTAAACTGAGCCCCACCTACACCAATACGATTAAGAGTAACAATTATTTCTGTTGATGACAGTAACAAAATAACATCAGCACTTTGAATTTTATAGGATGCTTTTCATCTCGTGATCTCAAAGCACTTTACTCACATTATCTGGTGACACAGTCCCTTACCCCACTCTGTTTAAAATTGAAGGCTAGAGAATGCCTGAGGCCATTCCACTGAATCACTTGAGCAGCCAGGTTCAGAACCCCAGAGCCCACATGTCCCTTTGCTGATACAAAGCCTTTCCACCTTTCTCACCCACCATGCTACCTGCCCAGTGATGATAACCTAGAATCTGTAAACCAAAAATTGTATTTAAATTAGAATTTTAAAAGAAAATCCCCCTCAAGCTATCTAGTATTTCCCTTAATACCAAAGGCTGAAATTAAAGATTTCAGAAGATTCAGATAGTAAAATACAAATGTGTCCTGGAATTTATCACTTCATCTCTCTCACTTCTGGCAGGAAGGCAAAAGGCTCTTCTCCTTTGACATCTCTCTCTTTAAAACAAGTAAGATTTTAAAAGGCCAAGCAGTAATATTAGAATAGAGTGAACACCCAACGAATATAAGAAATTATTACAGTCAAAACAAAAGATAAATCCTTTGTAGCCCCTGATTTTATGATTATTTAACTCTTGGTTTCCTATAGGAATCAAAGGACAACCCTGTGAATTTAGGCCTAAGTAACTCTGTTAATAACAAGTAGGAAATTCTTGGTTCCTAGGCAGTACTATTAAGGCAAACGTTCCTAAAAACCCCGAAGATTAGAGAAGATGAAAAATCACACTACTGAAATTTCATCTAAAGTAGGATATCATTTAGACACCAACTATTACTTCAGATTTTAATTTCTACAGGGAAAAAAGTCACATGGGTTAATACTGCCATAGTAATGCAGTCACGAAAGGCCATACAATATCAGGGGTACAATACTGGGATACAAAAGAAATCTGCATCTGAGACGTTTGGGAAATATGCATTAGAAGGGACAGGATAAATCATAAGAATTTATTGGGTATTTATAAAGACACCCAGGTCTTAGCAGAAGGATGTGCTACGTCTAGTAGGAATGAGAACAGAAGGGGCATGTGGTTCACTGGAGCTAGGAATCTGTTCGTTCTGTTGTACACAAGGTCGCTATGAGTCGGAACCAACTCGACCACACCTAACAACAACAGGAGCCTGGATCCATACCAGTATGAGAAAGTTTTACAGGAATGTGTATGGCATATTAAGGCACAGAGTAATATGGAAAAGAAATATGTATATATAAGTATAAACAAACAATACAGGATATGTAGGTTCAAAGGCTAAAAGAAAAACAATAGGAACATATTTAAAATCTGAATGTAAATTACCAACGAAGTAAAAAATATACATCAAACGAGAGTAACGTACCTCCTTAACGGGGACGGATAAGTACAGTACCACTGATAGCACAAGTATTGTGTAATAGTACAATAAAAACCTGAATACGCAGTAACTGAGGTACAATGGGGTAATTCACATGACAAGATATTGGAGGAAGAGCTAAGCAGAAGTTGAACACGAGTCGTATTATATACCGAGGTAGCAAAGTACACGGTACTATAATTCTTGAAAACGTTAGGTAAGTTTTACACAATGAGTGATGATGAGTATTCTGAAGAGATTTGATACAGGACAGAGGAATACTGGGATAAAGGATGGGCATGCAAATGTAAGATTAACCTGGACAAGATGGCAATAACCAGGAAATAAAAAATCCAGAGCAGAAAACTATGACCTAGAGTACAACATATATCTGATCCCACATCTCCCCTCAGAACTTTAAGTCACTTTCTTACTTCTCACTTGAGGGTTTTCATTCGGCCAAGTGGGTACAACACCTTCCACCTCCCTGCCCTACAAAGAGACTTCTACAAGTAAAATATTGGCAGACACATTCGAGCTCCACTTGTAAAAAAAAAAGTATACAGTACTAAAAAGCATGGAGCACATAGCGAGTGGGGGTAGAGGGGGAAGGGAGACGGGTTGGACAGAACAGACAACAAAACGAAGCTTGAGTCAAAATAATTATCAGTAGAGTGGGGTGAGGAAACCGAACCGCAAAGCGGTAAAAAGGGAACAGCACTTAGTCCCCACCCCGGAGCTGGGGCAAGGGGAATCAACGTATGGGGCAGAGCTAGGGAGTAGCCCAGAGACCGCCGCTGAACGCGAGAAGATGGAATCCACGGCGGCAGGGCCCACGGGGGCTGTGGAAGCGGGCTGCGGGGGACGACAAAGTCCGGGGGAGCGGGGCCGGGGGCGGAAGGGACGGCGGCTGGCGCGGAGGGACTGGGGTCCCGAGCCAGGAACTGGGGGCCCGGCACTAACCCGTTCTGAGTCCCGGCGGCCGTGGACCCCTGGCCTCTTCTCTTCGACCGTTTCCGGGGCCCACGGGTCTCGCTGTGGTAGGATGACCCGGCCCCGAGAAGGGCTAGGGCCTCAACCACCTCCCCCTCCTCGGTCCCCCTTCCCTAGAGGTCACTCTCCCCTCCCACCTCATTGGCCCGGCACTTCCGGTTCCGCAGGGGCCGGTGTCTCTGGTACTCACCCCGGCGCGGTGCCCGTCACCGCCACCGTCGTAGTCGCCACCGCCTCCCGGCACTGCCGTCCGGCCTCTAAGAGGCAGCGCGCGGCCCCCGCACGCTCCACGCCCGCCCTGCCCCCGCGCGCTCCCGTCCGGCGACGCTCGTCTTCGAGCCGGCGCGCGGCCGTTGCCCTCAGTACCGGGTCTCGAGCCCTCCCAGCGTTCCCATTGGCTCTCTGATCCGGGCGCGCGCGACGTCTCGCGCTGGGCACGTTTCTCTCATTCATGCACCTCGCGCCGCCGCGCCCGCCCCCGCTCACTCTCCCATTCAACCGTAACCCCCACCCAACTCCGATCTGGAGCGTGCGCGCGAACCAGCCGCGACCTCGCGGTCTGATTGGCTGTACGAGGACAGCGCCGTACGCACGCGAGAAAACGAGAGCGCGCCCGCACGGCCGTCGGGTTTCGCAGACGAGTAGGAGAGGAGGATTGGGGTACTACGCAGGAGTCAGGAATGGGGAAATGGCCGGACGAGTCTTCCCTGTTCCTGTATTCTATTTTGTATCCTTACTGTATCTAGGACAAACGTTCAGAAATTATAAAAAATTATGTCTGTGCACTAAAAGTGATCAAAAGTAATCACCTACTCGCTCGAATTCACCAAACCACCTCCAAGTAAGTGTGGTACAGTCCAGACAGGCATCTAGTGTAACCAATTACTGATAGGTCCCGCCCTCTTCCTGCTTCACTCCTTCTGCATTGGTCAGTTGTCTGGCGATTGCTTGGTTTTTTTTTTGTTTTGTTTTTTGCTGTCGAGAACTTTATTTAAAACAATCTCGATGGAGAAGTCCTTCACCGAGCGAGTTCCCTGGTACCAGCAGAATCCTTGGGTCATAAAACGGGCTGGCTTCTATGGAAGGAGAACCAAGAACCAAACCAAACCCATTGCTGTCGAGTCGATTCCGACTCACAGCGACAGGTCAGAGTAGAACTGTCCAATCAAGTTTCCAAGGAGCACCTGGTGGATTCGAACTGCCCAGCTTTTGGCAAAGCAGCTATAGCACTTAACCACTACGCCACCAGGGTTTCCATGATAGGGTAGGCAGGTTTAAAACAGCCAATGCAGGGCGAAGCTGCTGCCAAAGACCCGGGAGGAAGAGGAAAGACAGTGGTCACGAGCCTGGGTGCGCGCAATCACCAGTGGTGGCAGCCCTCCCGAGTGCGAGCCGGTTCCTGAGGGATGGTCCTCCGCATTCCTAATCTCACCCAATCCGGGAATACAGGCTGGAAGGAAAAGGTTCTCTGGAAGCTTCTGTCCCTGGCGAACTGCTGGCCAACTCTCCGTTGATCAAAGCACCAAACTTTGCCCGAATTAGCCCAGAAGAGCTGTAAACCCGATAGCAACACCAGGTGTTCGTTCTCCCTTCATTCAGCCCCAGGCCATTTCTCTTAACCGCTTCTCTGAAGTCAAGGTTCCTCACCTGTAAAGTGTGATCTTCCCTCGGATCTGGATCAAATGTTGCTGGTTTAACTGTGGTTCTGAAACTTTAGCATTAAGCAGAGAAGTAAAGGAGAAAGGTCTACTTTCTCTTGATTTCCAGGTCTAGTCTAGTTCCTTCTCTGACATGGTCTATATCTGAGGTTCTAATTTATTCTTGCGAAGGGCTTCAATCCACCATTTATTACAGCATACTCCAGAATTCTCTCTTTTTTAAGGCAATGTGTATCAAGAAATGAAATCTTTGAAACAACTTGTTGTTCTTAGGTGCCATCCAATTCGTTCTGAATCATACCGACCCCATGTAAAACAGAACAAAACACTGCCAGGTCCTGCATCATCCTCACAATCCCTGTTATGCTTGAGCCCATTGTTGCAGCCACTGTGTCAATCCATCTCCTTAAGGGTCTTCATGTTTTTCTCCGACCCTCTACTTTACCAAGCATGATGTCCTTCTCCAGGGACTGATCCCTCCTGAGAACATGTCCGAAGTATGTAAGATGTAGTCTTGCTATCCTTGCTTCCCAGAAGTATTCTGGCTCTACTTCTTCCAAGACAGATTTGTTTGTTCTTTTGGCAGTACATACTATATTCAATATTTTTTGCAAACACCGTAATTCAAAGGCATCAGTTTTTCGTTCTTCCTTATTCATTGTCCAGCTTTTGCAAGCGTATGCGCTGATTGAAAACATCATGGCTTGAGTCAGGTGCACCTTAGTCCTCAAAGTGACATCTTTGCTTTTCAACACTTTATTAAAGAGTTCTTTTGCAGCAGACTTGCCCAATGCAATACGTTGTTTGATTTCTTGACTGCTGCTTCCATGGGTGTTGATTGTGGATCCAAGTAAAATGAAATCCTTGACAACTTCAACGTTTTCT